ATATTCCATTATTTAAAATTATATATTTATTACTAATATGAATTAGTAAATTTGAAAAAAAAAGTATAAAAATTATAACTTGATGTTGGAAATAATCGTAAATAAAGATTGATGCTTCAACATACCTTCGAGCTATATTAAGAGCTCGTTTGATAACCCTTAAGTTATTTTTAGTCCGTTGTGTAGTAATAAAAATACATAAAGTTGGGGTTGCTTTTCTGACTGAATTGGATGGGGTTACAGTTAAGGACCGTTTAACCTACTTTTTGTGTAATTTTTTCTTTAATTTATTAATAAAATATATTTTAAATATTTTTTCATAGTTCAATCACTTCGGTCAACATTTCATCATTATATTATATTCTCAGCACATTCTGTCGATTCAGTCAATTTCAATTTTGTCAAATAAACCCTAAATTTGAAGCTATTTAAAAGACTCGGACATCAAAATGTTAAAAATAGTGATCGAGAATGAAGACACTGATGCAAGAAAAACAATTCCAATATTTATTAGTCATAGATAGTGTCTAGAGTCTTTAGGGATCTAAACGAGTTCTACAACCAAACATTAAGAGCATATTTAATGGGGATGTGAATTGTACCCCATTAAATATGGATATTTACGGATCCATATTTTTCCATCCATACAAGTATGCTACTGATCACCTCCTAGCATTAATTTCCAGAAGACATACAATGAGAATAGAATCAATAGATCGGTGCTCAAATTGCAGCAGGAATCCACACGGAGTAGGAGGTCGGCAATCCCAGGCCATCAAGGTTCTTCCCTGCCATTAGAAACAGCTCATAGATAGCCTGCTCTGCTGTTATTGTTGCTAGACAACCTAGTAAATTTTGATATCATATATATGTAGTTTGCTGAGTTTGGTGTAATTGATAATGGAATTAGTAAGAAAGAGATTAAAAATTTACTTTGATTGTTGCGCAGCCTGTAAGAAGATATGCAGAGTCTTTGGCATCCTAGGGTACAATGCTTCGGAAGATGCAAACAAAATTGACGAAAAAAATTTGGGGAGCTTTTTTGTGTGCATGACATTCATGTAATTTCCATATTTATATTTGTATTTTTAATTAGTTTTGATTGATTATCACTTTGGAAATTACACACTTTTGGTGTAATAGTTTAGTTTGTAAAATACTTGTAAATTGTTTAGTCTAGGTTTATTCTGAGCTCAAACAGGTCCATGATCACTCAAGAGACCATTGGTAAACTACAAAAGTGGAAGGAAGGTGCAAAAAAACAAGACAAAGAAGAAAGATCTCATTTTTGGGTTGTACCCGGTCGGGTATACCCTATAACCGATCGGGTACCTACTTGTTTTGCAAATCAAATCGGATCCAAAGACAAAGGAACGTACAGGAAGATTTTGACCATGATCAAGTGTCTATACCCGATCGGGTACACAGACACACCCGATCGGGTATGCCTATGAAATCTATTCCATAATCGATCGGGTGTGCATATGTTACACGTTTCTGATGATATCCGATCGGGTACCTTAGGTATACCTGATCGAGTACACGACCCTGCAGCCCAAAAAAAACTTATAAATACACCTCATTCCTTCACAATAAAATGACCAATTTCTTTATACTTCTAAGCTCAGTCTAGATTAGTTCTTTCTTTATATTTTTATCATGTTTAGTCTCCAAATGAGGAGCTAAACTTCCATCTTGGTTTTGCTACTTTGAAGCTTAATGAATTGTAAGTTGTGAGTTATTTTCTTTAATCTTCTTCCTTGAATATTAATTATGAGCTCTTTTCTTAATACTATCTCTATATTAATGTTGCGGAGTGTTGCTAAGATGACAATTAGTCAACATCTTGACATTAATTATAGTAGTATTTTCTTCCTCTATATTAATGTTGGGGAGTGTTGCTAAGATGACAATTAGTTAACATCTTGACTTTAATTATAGTAGGATTCATCTTCTTTAATAATATTCTTCCTTGAATATTAATTAATTCCTATTCATATTTCATATTAATATTTTGAACATTACTTAAAGCATCAACAAGTTTTGTTTCATATATTAATTATTACTAGAATCAATCGATTAATACGCTTGTTATTAATTCGGTTCTTTCAACGGTAGTAAACTTGGATTATTAATGCATGCGTCTCATGGTTAATAATCTAAGGGGAATTAATTATATTGATTTAACGAATAAACCGCTTGTGTTGAGGTTATCAATCGCAGTTGATTTTATCTTAAGTTTATTGCTACTATAGGGATAATATACTGTATGTGTTCTATATTGACTCGGTAGTAAGTTTATTAATGAACGCGTCTCGTTATTAATAATTACCCTCGATGAAATGGAGATACTCCTCGATTGAATATTCGAGAGGAAGATAGTTAAAGATATAACCGGGATCGACGAACATTTCATTAAGTGGATAAAAGCAAAAACAAATTCTCATCTCTATTAATTAAAACACATGAGTCATTCATCTTAGTGTTAATTACATTAAATCAAATCAAACTCAAAATCCACCTTTGTATTATTTAATTAAAAGAAAGATATTCCTTTCCTTGTGGATACGAACCTTATTACACTATACTACGTATAAGTGTTGTATTGTAGTTGTTATTTTGAGTGCACACCACGACAAAGTGCATGTCAGTGCAACGTCAAAAAAATTGACGATAAATAAAAGTTTTGCTGAGTCATGCTGTCTAACTGACTTGCTGGATTGAGAAAGGGGGACAGACGGTGTGGACAGTTGTTAATTCCACCTCAGCTCCACAGGAAATAGAGACTACTCCGTTGGAGACTGTTTTTTTTTTACTTCTCTCAAATCCTAGTTACGTGGCTGTGCATTATTAAGAATCGAGAGGCCCATTAAAGATGCTCTAAGACATCCATATGATACAAACTGTGCACGCGTATATATCAACCAAATACACAAATGTTTTCCCAGAAATTTCTTGACCGGTTGAAATTTCCCACAAATGTTTTAATACACAAATGCTCTAAGAAATGTTTTTCCATCCGACCACCTCCATTTGATGTACTTCCGGTTGAAATTTTTTAATCCAATTTCGTGAGCATGCTCTCTGTGCAGTGTAAATTACTGGTCCAAAGATCAGTCTAACCAAACATATTTAAGGAATGCTTTTTTATTACATGAAATCTTTTCTAAATAATGAGCATAAATTTAGTATTCCTTAAGAACTAAGAAGTAGATATTGATTATTTTCTATATATTTTTCATAATCGTCGTGAAATTAAATTTAAAAGGAAAAAGTTTTACTTAAGGAAACTTAATCAAACAAATCCTTTGTTTTTATCGCCTTATTTCCATACTCTTCGCCTCATAAGGTATGGAGTTTGAAGGGAAGAAGAGGAGAAGACTTTGAAGGTTAGTCATAGGAAGGAAAGGAGAGGGGAAAGGGGGGTATCCCCCTTCTTATTTGGAAGTAACAAATTTAATACAAACTTTAAATGAATTATAATTAAAATCACTTCAAATATATGGGGAATTCAAATAGTTGAACTTATATTTACTTTAAATTGAGCTAAAGTTACCATTTAGTAAGTTTTTTGAAAGGAAATAGCTTATATTAAAATCAAACGAACCAAATTAACAACCATATCCCAAAACCTAAATCTTCCTCTATCAAACCAAGACCAAAAGCTCATCGACCCCCTCACGTCATGATTAGACATAGAATAGTCCACTTTGGGTAGAGCGGGACTAATCGCTAAAACAATGAGAGCAAAGAGGCTATTAGTGGTTGAGTCAACCTGATTGCCTCCCAACAGAAATCTATCAACTAAAATAAAGCAAACCACGAACCAGCCACCCTTGTTGTTTGACAAAATAAAAACAAAAAAAAGAAATTAGAGAACAATCTAAACTGAAAATAGCATAAGTAAAAAAACTTCAAGTGATGGATGCGAGTCCCACACCGAAAAAGTTTGAATCAATAAAGTGTTATATTAAGACATGAGTTACTCCTCCTATCAGGTTGACCTTTTAGGATGGAACCCCTCGTCTTAACAATTGAGCTCTCTCGCTTCCATCACCTCAAGGTCTTTGTGTCCGATCTTTAGCTATGCGATAGGCGAACAGCAGCACTACAGCTCGCCTCCTTCCCATTTTTTTACGCTCTTGACTCCACCTCCATATCATTGTCCTCCGGTTTTTCCTCCTTTGGTCAATCCTCCTTCGTTTCTGCTCGGCCTTCTCTCCACCGCTGATAGAATGCCGTTATACGGGACCGATATCAGTCGTCGACCACCGATCATCATTGGTGCTGCAGATCGACCACCGATCGTCGTTGCTGCTGCAGATTGGTCATTGCATTGTAGATCTGGATCACCGCAGGAGCTTCACCATCGCTGCCGCCAAACTGCCCACCACCATACGGATCCCACCCCTAACAGATTGACCTTTTCACACCAGCCTCTGGTAGCATATTTCATGCGAGATGTTTAAGGTTCAAGAAGAAGCTTATAGGGTTGAAATAGGTAAACTCATGCTCATCTTTTGTTATTTTAACGTCAATCAGATTATTAGAGTGCCCACCACCCTTGTGTTGCAAGGTTGTCATGTTCATGTGTGCACCACGTCGGCAGAGTGATCTGCTGACATGACAAGTAACCTGCAAATGGACTCAATTGAATGTTTTTATAAAATTCGAGAATTTCATTGATTTTTTTAAAAGTACGAGAACGTAATTGACTTTTCCGTGATCGTACGAGGACCAAATTAATATTTAAGAAAATATACTTTTAAATATACAATAAGTTAACATTTTAACAATATAAATTATATAAAAATATTCAGAATTATTTTTTTGTTGTAAAATAATTGGACATTTAAATAATTAATGACCACTGTTAATAAAATTTGACTCAGAATGTCAAAACATAAGATTAATTGTGGGATTAGGGTGTGTATCAAATGAGAACACCCACTTTACCACTTATGTGACCATTTGATAATAAACGTAAGGTTTCGGTTGGATATTAGTAAAGGTGGAATGAATATATTAGGAATTAAAATTGTAAATTACATCAGATTTCACCAATAACAAATCTAAGCCTAAGAATTATGATCAATGGCCGCACCCCTATTGTGTAGGGAAATGGTTGGGTCCGTCCTTACCAACAGCTTCGGTCATGAAGACTTCAAAGTTCAAACCATTGATCTGTGTTTACAGTCATATTTCAGTCAACAATGCTAAAATTACTCTTATGTGAAACTTAACTTGCACACACACACACGCACTCGCACAACTATACAGTGTGTTTACATACATACATGCATAATACTTGATTACTTGGGCACTAGACCTGAAGCAAGTCGCAACAGCAAAAGGCTAGACCATCATCATTTGCACAACTCACTGAAATATCCTACCAGGTATCTTCGCACTTTGGGCAGAAAACAAACTCCATATCAATCACTCTGAAAGTTAGTCTCCTCCATCATTGTAGAGACGTACATCTATATCAGGAACAAAACCTTTTTCAATCATTTCTCCATTGATTATATCATAGGTTGTTCGATTAGGTGCCAACCCTTTCTCTAGCATCTCATTCAAAAGTGAATTTGCCTCTTCCAGCTTACCTTCGGAGCAAAACCCTTTCATCAGTACATTGAAACTTGCGACATTTGGTTTTTTCCCTTCCCTTTCCATTCTTCTCCTAATAGAAACAGCTGCCTTCGGATTTCCTTCTTGGCAATAGCCAGCCATCACTTTATTGTACGTTATGTGGTTTGGAATTAAGCCCTCCTCATATAACTCATCCAGCAGGCGAGCAGCCTTTCTTGATTCACCCATCTTGCACATTGCATCAATCTGTATATTGTACGTGACAATATCAGCCTTCAATCCCTTGCGGGCCATCTCATCCAGCATCATTTTAGCTTTTTCAAGATTACCCACCCGATAATATCCCCCAATCAAGCAATTATAGGTTGAAACGTTAGGTTGAATTCTTTTGATCAACATTAAGTCAAAAAGAGGCATTGCTTCCTCCATCTTCCCTGCCTTACAATAACCATCCATCATAGAGTTAAAAGTCAGCACATTTGGAACTAATAATCCCTTCTTCATTATTTGATCAAACAACTCCCTAGCCTCCACTAACATCTGGTTTTTAGAAAATCCATTTATAAGGGCATTATGAGTAACAATATTAGGCTGCAACCCTAGCCTCGCCATTTCAGTCTGCAAGTCCAAAGCATCCCTAATTCTTCCATCCCCACAAAGCCCATTAATCAATGTGTTATATGTCACAATGTTTGGCTTTGTCTGATGCTCCTTCATCTCTGAGAAAATCTTTAAAGCTGCCTTAATATTATTATCCTTGCAAAATCCATCAATGAGAGTGTTATAGGTTATCTTACTTGGTTGAATCCCTTTACCCACCATTTCTTTAAGAACTTCATCTGCTTTGTACATCTTCGATGATCCTCCGTTTTTACAATATCCATCAATTAATGTATTATAAGTAACCACATTCGGCATAACTCCCCTAATCTTCATGTCTTCCATAACATCTTTAGCCTTATTCAACTTCCCTTCCTTACACAGCCCATTAATCACCTCATTAAATGTGAACAAGTTAAGTGCAATCCTCCTCCTAAGCATGTCCTTGTACAGGAATTCAATTTCCCCAGTCTTCTTCTCCTTTACCAACATATGCAAAAGCGGATTACATGAATTAACAGACAATGTAAACCCATAATCTCCAGCACGCTTAAACGTCTCTAAAGCAAAATCAGCTTTCGAATTATTGACAAGAGCCAATATCAACATATCAACAATGATAGAGTTGAGATGGTATTCATCACTACAGGTCAACAATTCATGAAAAAAAGACGAAACTGAGTGGATTTTCCCACCTTTAACGAAGGAGTGTAGCAAAGATCTCACCGTTGGATATCTCTTTTCTTTTGCAGCCAAGACTAGTAGTTTGCATAAAAGTTGAGGAGGGTAAGAAACTTTATAAGCTGCCTGGGACCATTTGAAGAAGGAGAAAATGGCATCCGAACTGAACCCGGGTTGGAATAAATGTAGAATGAAGCCTGTCGGGTCAGCGGGATTAATAAGGTTTCTGAGTTTGGACCAGTGTTGCTTCGCGATGAGGTCTGAAACGGTGGATTTCAGAATATGATCTGTGGGTAAACGGGTTTCCGGAGTCCCGTTTGTTTCCGAGTTCGGGAAAAGCAACTGTACTGCAAACATTATAATCATTCAAGTATAATCCGATCCTCAAAAATGTAAATGGAGGGGGGAAAGGAAATCTGTTTTGGGAATTTTAATGTTGCTAGTGTGACAACCCAGACAATTAAATAAGAATTCCTCTTCCTTCCACATGGCCCTAGCATGAGACATGCTAATATCATGGTTTAATCAGTTCGGCATTTTGTTAGTTTGATCATGAAAAATGCAAAACCGAGAACCAAACCAAGTAACTTAAGTCGGTTTAGGTTTGTTTTGGATACCTTTATATGTTTTTAAAGAATAAACCTTAAACGAAGCCTCTTATGATTTGGTTGGTTTCGGTTAAGTTTGGTTACATTTTTATAGTTTCGATTTTGGTCGGTTTGATGGTTTTTGTTCATCCCTTTACAGGCTTCATAACAGACAAATGGGTTTATGCCAAAATCATGTTCCCTACGATTCTCAAGTATGCATATGTAGCAGGACTAGAAGATTACAAACCGGATAGAGCTGTCCTGTCATCAGTCTCCAGCCCCAGTTCCTGCATTAGATTTTTTTTTTTTGAGAAAGTTCCTGCATTAGATAAGGTATAAATTATGCCAACTTGAAAACTAAGTAATTTATAAGAAAAATTGTATGCCAATACGACTTCTAAGTTCAATTTAAAAATTCACGACTTAAACCTCCTACTTTCTTTATGGCCTTCCATTGCTCATTTAGTAAGTAGCAACGCTGCTCCTCACTTATTTTTTCTTCACAAGCCTTTCCTATTGTTTCCATGTGAGAATAAAAATGATTTTTAATGAAACTTATAATGCATATTCGATATCCATCAGTGCAAAAGCCATACTTGGATCCTACTTAAATCCATTTCCTTCTTCACTAATTCCAAAGTAAGCTTTAGGCGGTTGTGCACCTATAATAAGAAAGATTGAGCAAATCAAAATCAGCAACATATAGGACAGCTGTATGCAGAGACAGGCAGTATATACAATACACCATAATTTTGGTTTTTCTGGCTAAGAAAGCTTCCCTGGTGCGTAAATTGTGGTTCAAAGAAAATGCTTCACTAACCAATAATATTAACTTTGTATTTTGTAATATTTTTTGCATCATGATTCATAATTAACATGATTCACAGGAGACCAAACTTCGTGAGGTTGGGGGTCACAATTAGCATGTAGAAATACAAACAGAAAATCTATGATGCTTAAAGAATTTTCTGTGACTATTCATTATTGCATCCTTGGTTGTTAAAACTAAAGCAACAAGATACCTCAGAAACTTACATCAAGCTCTTCAAGAACTTGTTGGCAATGCAGTTTGTTAGCCCCAGATATTGTTGCTACAAAATCTGCTAATCGTGCATAATTAAAATCTCCTATATGCTGCAGTTTCACAAAACAGAATATGTGATGTACACTGTACAGGCTACAGATTCTAATACATTAAAGGAATGTATCCTTAAAGGACCAGTCATGAAATCAGATGGGCTGTTAAAATATGAAAAAAAGATATACTTGTCCTGATGGAGGTTTTGTAGAAGATTTCAATTAAACAGATCGCGTTGGTTGATACCACATAACAAAATTTAAAAACACCTTTAAAGAGATGCCAGCATTTAACTTTAAGGAAAGATTTGAGTAATTGTAATAATATTTCTCTTCTTTTTACATCAACGACAAGCATACAATTTTACTTTCCCAATAAGTGTGTCAAGTACAATGGAGAAGGACATTTTGGGGCGAAGGGAGTAATTGTTATAGATACGGTGTCATTTTAAGTTGCACCTTACATTCTTCTTATGTGAAAACCAATTTCACGTCATAATTACCACTCCCTACTTATACTGAAGATTGAATTAAGAAGCCACTCTACAACCCAACCAACCTCACTACATTTTCATCTTCTCAACCAACCTATTATGAAACTCAATTAGCAGCTAAATTTTGTATCACATTATCCTAACACGGTACGCTACTGCATAGTAGCATTAGATCCATATGATTCTGTTTAATTCCCATTCATCCAATGGCAGTCATTCAGCAGCTTAAAGATCGATATAAAGGTCAATGTTATAAAAAATCCAAAATGAGAGGAAGGGTTCAAAAATTGAAGGATAAAGATTTCAGTTTTATTCAATACCCTTATTTTCCACACTGCTATTTGAGCTTATAATACAGAGTATCAACTATCGAAAAAGTTGTTATTTTTCTACAATATCCTCAGTTCCCATTCTCTTTATCTTTCTTTGAGCAAATGAGCTTATGGAATCATCAACAGGCTTTCATATTTTTCTTTTACTAAAATCCAGAGACAATGTAATTTCAGGAATATTAGCATTGAATGCATGGATACAAGAAGAATTCACACGCTCAAGCACACAATTTCAAATGACCCGCATAGAGCTAACCAATAGACAGTCTTCAGGCCGAAACACAGTGGGAACCATGGCAGCCGAATTCGTAGCCTCAGCAGCCCCCTCAACTTCAACCTTTTCCAATGGGTCGGGCCCATTGGTGTTGTCCGAACAGAAAAAACGTGTGCAGAAGTAGGTCCCCTTCTGTCTGGAGCTTCTGATTGAACTCAGAACTCGGTTCAATGGAGAGCTTGACTCTCTGTACGGTCGGGCATGGTGGCTATAAGCCGACGACGCTGAATTGTAGCGAGAAATTGATGTGATAGCCTTCAACATCAGTGGCGCTGGTGGTAAAGGATCCGAAAGTTGGGATCTTTTCCGATGATGAAATTGTGCTTTAGATTTTTGCAGGGCCTAGAGCTGTCGTTGATTAACTTCTTGCCGTTCTTGGTGGACAAGGAATCCGTTTCTGGGACTTGCTCGGCCATAGCTGAAAGCCCTGCCTAAACCCTTCAAAGAGATTCATGTTTCCTCTTTCGAATTTTCGTCCCTACCTAAGAAGGATTAAGGAGTACATATTGAGTTCTAAAAAAACTTTATCAAAGTAAAAAAAATAATCAAAAAAAAATGAACATAAATTAGTACTACATTTGTTCTTTTTTAATTGCAAAATTGAACTTTTTGCACTATTCACATATTCTACTTTGAATATATTATATATTAAATTTTTAAAAACTATTGTTAAATTCTTCTTATTCTAAATTTTCAAAATATGAATTTTTTAAATTTTTTACTAATATGGAATGAAAGATATTAATGATCAAACTTGTGTGTTGACAAAAGTGAAATGTTGATTGTTGCAATTAAAACGGAACGGAGGAAGTACGGTGGAGACGTTGGTGGCAGTTCCATTGCTAGCATTGTATTTTTTAGGGTTTTGGCCATTTTTGTTTTACATATTTAATTATTGAAATGAAATTTCATCAAGGGCATATTTGTACAAGAAGGTGATTTTAAGTTCTATGAAACATAATTTCAAATGAAAGTCCTATTTGAGCAATTGTCTTCTGTTTTAGGGCAAATTTGTACGATTGTACAAGAAGGTGATTTTAAGTTCTATGAAACATAATTTCAAATGAAAGTCATATTTGAGCAATTAATTGTCTTATGTTTTAGTCTCATTCAGAGAATTAACTCAAAGTTTTTTCTGAACTAATGCAAAATAACAAATATTTACATAAGTGATGTTGAGTTAAAATTACTTCCCACATGCTTCACAAACCCTAGTTAGCAAATGGCCAATCAAATTGGTGACTTACCCGAAGACCGTAAATTATATCGTACAGCCGGTTGTACCGCGCGCACGGTACAGCCGGCATTTTAGTTCACAGATCGCAGGTTGGTGGGCTTCTATAGCAGTTCGCAGATCGTTCTCATTGCCCGTCCTTCGCTCGCCGCCTACACAGATGATGACTCTCAACAGCCCCAATCCTCCAACGCGAGCAGCAACTCCTTAAACTCCGGCTTGAGCAGCGGCTCCTTCTGGTGTATAGCCCTAGTTGCTTCTCCTCCGTCTCTCTTGATTTGGACTGTTCCTTTTTCTCTTTTTCTTACCCAAGTTCAGTGAGTGAATTTGGTCGCTTGTTGGGCGCAGGTTAGAGAAACCTAAGTTATACGTAATTCGTCAGATATGAGCATAACAAATGAAATTATGAGCATAGTAGACATTTTGAATGAGTTTTTTTATTTTCTCAATACTCATTTAGTAACTTATGTATGTTAATTTGATATTGGTGTAATACTCATTTTAAAATGTCATGTTCATGTTTATTTCAAAAGTATAATGTTACATTAAATTCACATATTGGATGATGGATTCATATGTGTTCATTGTAGATATTTTAAACAATAAGAAAAAGAATGTGAATTATAAGATATGAAATGGATATCACGATACACATTATTAGACTTTTAATACTCAATAGAATAGATCGGATGATCATTAAACGTGCACTAGTGCTCATTTAAATGAAGTCGTGAATTTCACTTAAATTATCAAACTGCCACCGGCTGTACAGTTTGCACCGTACAGTCGGTCGGTCGTACGGTATACGGACTCCCCGAAGACAGAAGGGGAAGCCTACGCATGAGTCATCACCAATAGGAGAAAAGAACTCGCGGGGCCCAATGAAATAAAAAATCTCATTCTTTTAAAAGTGTTAGGTTGTTTTTACTTGGACTGCAATTCGTTCCAGACCAGACCAGACCAAACTAGACCAGACCAGACCAAAACAGACCAGACTAAAACAGACCAGACTAAAACAGACCAGACCAGACCAGGTCATATTTTTATTATTATTATTATTATTATTATTATTATTATTAGGGGTGTGCACCGGTTCAAAACCGGACTGGACTGTACCGGATACCGTACCGATTCAAAACCGGACCGGACCGGTTCAAAACTGGCCTGGACCGTACCGGCTCAAAACCGGACCGAACCGGACCGGACCGCACCGGTTCCGGGTTTTCCGGTCCGGTTCGATCCGTTTTTCCGGTTTAAAATGTATAGTGCACACCCCTAATTATTATTATTATTATTATTATTATTATTAGGATGGTTTTACTTGTACTGTAATTTGTTGGTCTGGTCTGTTTTGGTCTGGTCTGGTCTGGGACGAATTACAGTCCAAGTAAAAACAACCTTATTGTTGTTGTTGTTATTGTTATTATTATTGTTGTTGTTGTTGTTGTTGTTATCTGTAATTATAAATGAATGAAATAAGATTATTTATGGATTATAATATATATAAAAAATAAAATCTGTATGCAAAAAATATAAAAAATAAAATTCCAGACCAGACCAGACCAGACTAAAACAGACTAGACCAGATCAGACCAGACCAGCAAATTACAGTCCAAGTAAAAACATCCTTACTGTGTTTAACATTTTTATTTGTACTCGGTTTGTTATAAAAAACTATGTGTATCATAATTCATAACTTTTTATTATCTTTCAATGACATCAATATTGTATTTGTAAAAAATAAAAAATAATTTAGCACTTTAAAAATATTCTGTATTTTAAAGTATTACGGAGTATAGGTTTTTTATTTGTACTCCTCTTGTTTTAAAAAATATATGAAAATTCATAATTTTTTGTTATTTTTCATATGACACAAATATATCATAGATAAAAAAAAATTAGCACTTTAAGAAACCTACTTCATATTTTTTTAGAGTGTTATAACTTTTTTGTACTCCGATTGGCTAAAAATATATATCAAAATTCATATGTTCGTATACATTAACAAAAAAATAGAAATTTAAAAAACTTCAATTTTAAGTGTTATAATTTTTTTATTTAAATTCTAAGTGTTAAGTTTCATAACTTTTTATAAAATTTCATATGATATTGTACTTTGTATGCTTAAAATAAAATCTTTCTAATGCAATGGACATGTTTGGAATTGGGCGAAAATGCTAAGAGGGATAAAATTGCTATTTTTTTGCTTAAATCTCATTTTTTTAATAATCCCATTGTACTTTATGAGTTACAAATCGCAATCTTTTTCAAAGCTTTCTCATATGAAAACCTTATTTGTTAAAAAAACTTTTTAACATGCAATATTGATTTCTTATGCAATGTAATAAAAAAGTTATGTAGGGCTAAGTACGGGTCTCGGATTTTCTGTACCGTACCGAGAACCGTCATGAATTGTACCTGAACCAAACGAACCGGAAAAATAATACTGAAGTACCGTACCGAAAATTGGTACGAAACGGGACATGTTCAAAATATATTCAGGACACTATCGTTTCTTTGATTTTTAAAAGAATCGTACTTCGGAAACGAGGCATGCTTTTTGAAATAATTGTCCCGTATCGTCCCATGTTATGAATTTTGATATATTATTTGTAACAATTAGACTGCAAAAAAAAAAAATTACAACACTTTAGAAATTGACTTTTTAAGTGCTAAATTATGTATTTATTTTATATATGAAATATTAGTGGCACATGAAATATAATAAGAAGTTATGAATTTTAATATATTTTAAAGACCATCTGAGTACAAAAAAGGTATGACACTCTAAATTATTTTTTTATTTTTACGTATGAAATATTAGTGTCATATGAAATATAATAAAAATTGATGAATTTTGATATATATTTTAAAACTATCAGAGTGTAAATACAAAAGCTATACGGAGTAACACTTTTAAAAAATAGTTTTTTTTAAGTGGTGAATAATTTTTTAATTTTATATATGTAATATTTGTGTCATATGAAAGATATTACCACTGTATTTATTCAGCATTATTTTAGAAAAAAACTCGAGATATTACTACAACCACTGTAATTAGTCATATATGTGTAATTAAATAAATTCTAATAATTGACATATGTCATTTAAAATATCGAAAACCTTCAAATAGACCTTTCGAGTATTTTTAATTCATTGCTTAAATCCTTGCAATTCAAAAGTATAATATAAGTTCGCACACTTAGAAAAATGTTAGTCTTGGCCTTTCGGTTTTCAGTTATAGCATTTAAAAAAAAAAGATAAAATAAGAGTTTTGAATTTTCGGAAAAAATGGAAAAGTGATTGAAAATTATTAAGAATGTCAAAATATATACGGAGTATTTTTTTATTTTGGGAATTATTTGTAAATTCAACATTTTTAAAAAAGTTTTTACAGTTTATATTTTTACATTCCCATTTTTTGGATTTTCTATTTCCTTGATATTTTTTTTTTTGGAAATGTGTTTTAAATTATACATACTTTTGTTATTTTCCTATTTTTATCCGTTTCCAAATCTATATTTTTTACAATTTATATGATTTTTAAAAAAATGTAATCTTCTTTGCTTCACGAGTATTATACCTATTACTACCATGGCATCTACATCATCAATGTGATTAAGAGAAGTGTCACTACAATGTGGAGAAGGAATATAGACATTGTCATCTTCGGATTACATATGTTCTTATGAGTGAAAAGACAATGGAGTGTACTTTAAAGCACTTTGGGCATAAAATAAATCATTTAATTCATCTTATATTATAGTTCTTGTTCAACCCCTCTTTTAAAAAAGTTCAATCCCTTCTTCTCTAAGCGTCACAAATTTTGAATTCTCCTATAAAAAGTTAAAGGTCAAAATAACTTATATGTAATTATAATTGAAACACATACATCAACAAAACAAAAAAACACCTCAATCTTCAAATTGCACTACTCATTAGAGACGTCAACAATTCCTTTTACAGGATCACATCCTAACCATATCTCCTATCATTTGACTCCTTTGAGTATGTTTCAAAGACCCTATCTAGTTGCATTAAATCCATTTTATGCTTAAATTTATCTTTGTCGAGTGTAGGTTATTTGTATGTTTGACTAATGGAGCTTGTGCCTTCTTCAACACTAACCTTTTGACAAGTTACACCATCAATTTCCCCTTATTCCTTTCAGCATTTTGCATGTTGAGGTCACATAAGAACTATTAGGAAGTGGGTTAATACTTCTGTCCAGCTAACTATACCTACAAAGTTGCACTTTATTGACTTTCGTTGTACTTAATTTGTCATCCTTGGTTATCATTTACAAATTGTTTTCGTGCGAGAAACATTTATAATTTATAAGTAAAAAGGAAAAATCAATTAATATTATTAACTACTACATTCTCCATGTGTTGCCAAATTAATAACACTCCTTGTTTTTATAGTGATTTACTTTTATCTACTACTAGAATACATTGCTAATCGAATCATCGTGGTCTTTGGCATGATGTTATTATTTGCTCACATTTTAGCATCATTGTTCATCTTACATCCTTCAAGCTACACTCTTTTACGGACTTTTTCCATCCATATACATTGTTGTTGTAAAAAATAATATGTACTTTCGTTCCCTTAACATTGGTACAAGATGAGGTGATGCGATTACCAAAAAAGATTATTGTATATAGTTGATATTGAATAATTTTAAATAAAGTAAGAATGATTTGAACCACACAAGCATTACTAGAATTGGTATGAGACAATCTTAGTTGAATGAACCATGAAAAAAGGAGACAATTTTAACGGGGCGAATAAAATATATTTTTTATCAAATGCACAAAACTTCTTGAGCCTTCCTCATATGACCATCCCTGCAACTAGACCAATTGAAGATAAACTGGACAAAAGGTATTCAACTTAACCAAAAATCTCAATTCTGAACGAACCATCATCAATTTACACATGGTTGAGGATCCATAAAAAATGGTGCATGAGATGATGTGTGGAGAGACGATGGTCTCCCTTATTCTTTCTTTTATATTATATAGGTACACACATTGAAAGGGATGACAAAAAGAATAACATGAGAGTTGTAATGAATGATGCATCATAATACAATAAGAGTGCAAGGATTTAAACCATAAAAAAAGATCAGAAAGAATTAAATATATGAGGGAGAAACTTGATAACATGATGCAGCTCTTTGGATAAATGAATAATACATCTAAGGGGGTGTATACATCAGTGACGAGTATTATGCACACAATTGTCACACTCAATCGTGGTGAAAATAGTGTTGCATTGGTTAAATTGTGTGCTTTGCAAGATTAAGATCCAAGCACAACTAAATTCTATTTCGTTTACACCAAAGTTAAGGATCCATAAAAAGGAGATTTTTTTTGAATTCGTACTGTAACTTTCCCCACGTAGCATAAAGAGTACTTCACCAAGCACAGACACCCCAAAGTACATGAACTTGAATTTTTGGGTTGATTTAGTACATCTTTAATTCTATCATTACAAAAAAACTTAGGTGGCAAGAAAGAGCCGTTTATTTTGTACCGTTATTATTCGAGTAGCAAATCATTCCTAGAACAACAACAACAACTAAGCCTTGATCCCAAAAGATCTTGGGGTCGGTTGATATGAATCGGTCCATGATATCAGTGCTACAAAGAGAAGAAAGATAAGAAAAAAGTAAAATAAAATGGATGAGATAAAGATATATATAAGATAACAATAACGTAGTAATATACGAAAGATAAAAGATAAAAATATAAAAGAGCATAAAAAAGATAAAAGATAAAACTAACATAAAAAGATAATGAAGATAAACAATAAAAGAGAAAGAGAGAGAAAAGATAAAAAAAAGATCACTCTAAATTAAAGCCATATCTCATCCAACCCAAGAAGACGCATATCGGTTATGATTCCTCTAAGCCAAGTATGTTTGAGTCTTCCTCTCCATCTCCTTCTTGCCTCTTCTTCCCACCGCTCAAGTCGTCTAACATGTGCATCACTTGATCTTCTACGCACATGATCAAACCACCGCAAATGAGACTCCTGCATCTTATCTTCAATAGGTGCTACTTTCACCTTTTGTCTAATTGTCTCATTCATCAAATGGTCTTTTATACTATGTCCACACATCAAACACAACATACACATCTCTGTCACACTCATCTTTTGAAGTGACATTGTTTCACTGCCCAACACTCTACCCCATACATTAATGCATGCCTAATTGATGTTCGATAAAATTTACCCTTTAGTCTATTCGGCATACCTCGATCGCATAGAAATCCTGAATCAATCTTCCACTCCATCCACCCAGCTTTGATTCTATGGGATACATTTCCATCTAATTCACCATCCCTCTGAATTATGGAGCCCAAGTAACAGAACATATCACGAATCGGTATCTCCTCACCATCAAGAGTTATCTCAGTGTCACTGCTACTTCTACCCCCACCAAACTTGTACTCCATATACCCAATCTTGCTTCGGCTTAATTTGAAACCCTTGATCTCCAATGTTTGTCGCCATACTTCCAACCTTGCTTTAACACCAAATTGCGTCTCATCCATCAACATAATATCGTCGTCAAACATCATGCACCACGATATATCTTCTTGAATTGACTTTGTAAGTTCATCCATGACTATAGCAAATAATAAAGGACTCAGAGTAGACCCTTAGTGCACTCCGATAGTAATACGGAACTCTGTGGTCCTCCCTACGCTAGTGCACACACTTGTAGTACAAACATCATACATATCCATGATGATACTGATATACTTACGAGATATGCCTTTTCTAGTTAAGGCTCACCAAAGGACATACCGAGTTACCCTATCATATGCTTTTTCCAAGTCAATGAACACCAAATGCAGGTCCTTTTTAGTGTTTATATACTTCTCCACAACTTGTCTAAGGAGGTGAATAACCCAGTTGTTGAGCGTCCATGCATAAAACCAAATTGATTCTTTGAAATTTTCACACTTTTACGAAGTCTTTGCTCAACCACCCGCTCCCAAAGTTTCATGGTGTGACTCATAAGTTAATCTCTCGATAGTTGGCATATTCCTGTACATCACCCTTATTTTTAAATAGGAGAATGAGAGTACTCTTCCGCCAAATCATAAACATTTTGTTGTTTCTCCAAATCATGTTGAAGAAACGTGTTAGCCAATCGATGCCTTTCGCTCCCAAGGTTTCATGGTGTGACTCATAAGCTCAATCCCTCGATAGTTGGCACATTCTTATACATCACCCTTATTTTTAAACAGGGGAATGAGAGCACTCTTCCGGCCACTCACTGACATTTTGTTGTTTCACTAAATCATGTTGAAGAAACGTGTTAGCCACTCGATGTACTATATAATGTTCAAATATTTCTATTATGTTTTATGAAAAATATTGAATATTAAATTAATTTTTAATAGAAACAAGATCAAACTCAAATATAATAATGTCAATGTTTATATATATTTTCGATTCAATATATTCAAAATAAAAAATAATGAAAAACATAACACCGTTGTCGGATAATACTCGATTTATTTTATAAAACACTTAACTACTACCTCCGTCCCAAAAAAACTTCTCACTTTCTTTTTTGGGTCGTTCCAAAAAATTTTCTCACTTTTCCTTTTTGGATAATTTGTGTGACTCACATTAATTTTACATTTTTCTTACACAACTACACCTACATATTTTCACTTTATTCCACTTTTTTAATAAGCGTAACGATTCAAAAGGGGAAATATTTTTTGGGAGGGAGGGAGTAGTCCACGAGTTGAGATAGTTGTTGTGACTTTTGAAATAGAGATTAATTTTTTGAAATGTTTAAAAGTATGAATTATAGGAATCTCTTCTGGGAAGGACGAAAGTACTAACGAGGAAATAGGAATCTCTTCTTTGAAGGGTTTAGGCAGGGCTTTCAGCTTTTGCCGAGCAAGTCCCAGAAACGGCTTCCTTGTTCACCAAGAACGGCAAGAAGTTAATCAATGACAGCTCTAAGCCCTGCAAAATTCTAAAGCACAATTTTATCATCGGAAAAGATCCCAACTTTCGCATACTTTACCACCAGCGCCACTGATGTTGAAGGCTCTCACATCAATTTCTCGTTACAACTCAGCGTCGTCGGCTTTTAGCCACCATGCCCGACCGTACAGAGAGTCAAACTCTCCATTGAACCGAGTTCTGAGTTCAATCAGAAGCTCCAGACAGAAAGGGACCTACTTCTGCACACGATTTTTCTGTTCGGACAACACCAATGGGCCCGACCCGCCTGCCGAGGCTGGGGCAGAAGCTAAGCAGGGAGATGTAGAAGTTGAAGGGGCTGCTGAGGCTACGAATTCGGCTGCCATGGTTCCCACTGTTTTTCGACCTGAAGACTGTCTATCGGTTAGCTCTATGCGGGTCATTTGAAATTGTGTGCTTGAGTGTAAATTTTTCATGCGTTCAATACCAATATCCTGAAGTTACATTGTATCTGGATTTATTGAAAGAAAAATATGAAAGCCTGTTGTTGATTTCATAAGCTCATTCATTCAGAGAAACATAAAAAGAATGGGAAGTAAGGATATTGTACAAAATTAGCAACTTTTTCGATATACACTGTTATATGCTCAAATACAAGAGTGGGAAAATGAGGGTATTGGATAAAGCTGAAAATTTCAGCATTGCTTTTTGAGCCCTTCCTCTCATTTGGAATTTTTATAACATTGACTTTTATATTGATGTATAAGCTACTGAATGACTGCCATTGGATGAATGGGAATTAAAAGAGACCATATGAATCTAATGTAACTATGTTAGTAGCTTACCGTGTTAGGATGATGTGATACAAAATTAGCTGCTAATTGAGTTTCATGATAGGGTTGTAACTGTGAAGGCCCAGTTGAAATTTCAATATTTTAGGGGTGCATCATAAGACGCAAATGTAGTATGAAGTTGGTTGGGTTGTAGAGTGGCTTCTTAATTCAATCTTCAATACAAGCAGGCAGTGGTAATTATGATGTGAAATTGGTTTTCTCATAAGAAGTCTGTAAGGTTCAACTTAAAATGACACCGTATCTCTAACAATTACTCCCTCCTCCCCAAAATGTTCTTCTCCATTTGTCTTCGCACACTTATTGAGAAAGTAAAATTCTACGCTTGTCGTCGTTTATGTAAAAAGAAGAGAAATAATATTTTAATTACTCAAATCTTTCCTTAATAGGAAGTCTCCATTAATTTTTAGGACACCCCGAAAAGGAATGTGGGAAGAAAATTATGTGTTGGAGGGAGTTGACATAGTAGTTACTGAAAAGGTTCACGGAGTGCTGTACTGAAAATAATGTGTTGGAGGAAGTCTCCTATAATTTATTGAGGCTTTAAAGCATGCTTTAATATGTGGAAGGCTGTGGTTGATTTCTTCATCCCTACAGGCCTACATAATGGCTTTACTAGCTGCACCAGAACAAATTATTTGTTTCATTTTTTTAATTATTTTGTATTATTTTGTATTAGTTTTAATCTTTTCCTTTGATACAATAACATTGTCCATATTCCTTCTTGCAGGTTATAGCGCTTCCATTGCCACACAGACCATTATTTCCTGGATTTTATATGCCAGTTTTTGTGAAGGTATAGTTCTAGTGTAGGGATGTGATATTTTTAACTTCCTTTGCTGGCTAGTTAAGATTATGAGAGAATTTAAGAATGATTTGAATAGGCTCTGTGATTTTGAGGGTGTTTAATTATGGAGTAAGACTAAGTACTCTTTTATGTCGATTGTGCATAAACTATCAAACCTGGACGGCAGCACCTATACCTGACATTGGGCATAGGCATTGAAATATACGAAGTATTATACTATGGGTCCTAGTTTTCCTCGAGAGGAAAATGCAGTATAAAAGTTTGCTGTGTTTGTTGTTGGCTGTTACTGATTCTTAAATGCGACTTTGATATCTTGTTTAATTAGCACCTTCCCCTTATTCTATATTCCAGCCAGTTCTCTGAACAGAAACTCCCTTGGTTTGTAGATGAACTTGCTAAAAGATACTCTACTAGCCTCAGTGGTTATTGTTAGGGAAAATTTGCCATGATAGTTTACAGTAACTGATATAAAAGGATTCAATATTCAGTTTGTTATTTCAAGCAGGACCCTAAGGTCATAGCGGCACTAGCTGAAAGTCGAAAAAGGCAAGCACCTTATGCTGGTGCTTTTCTTATTAAAGATGAGCCAGGGATTGACCCAAGTATAGTGTCAGATACTAGTAGCAATATTTATGAACTCAAAGGAAAGGAATTGTTTGACCGTCTTCATGAAGTTGGTACACTTGCTCAGGTAACTTAAAACCCGTATTATGTTTCTCTTTGGTAAGTTATTATTTACACTGTCAAGTACTGACCTATGATTTATTGATAACCTAGATTACAAGTATCCAAGACGATCAGGTTGTTCTTATTGGCCATAGGAGAATTCAAATAACAGAGATGGTGAGTTATTGTGACACTGTATGAAGACAGATATGAAGCAGGAGTTCAAGATTGCCTTTTTCATTAAAAGAATACAATCGCATGTTTTATAAATTTATTTCTCTGTTGATAAGCTTTTAGAGTTGATCTGCTAACTATTTCTGTCTACTTGGATTAAATTATGCGCGTCATTCGTGCAGGTTAGTGAAGAGCCACTTACTGTGAAAATCAACCATCTCAAGGCATGTAACAAACTTTAAATTCTTTTTGTTATTGAGGTTAACTTCTGGAAATTTAACTTCTTACTCACAATTCTTTTAATTTTAATAATGTTGCAGGAGAAGCCATACAATAAAGATGACGATGTGATTAAGGCGACATCTTTTGAAGTTATATCAACCCTGAGGGATGTCTTGAAGACAAGTTCCTTATGGAAAGAGCATGTTCAAACTTATACTGCAGTATGTGTTATTTCTTATGTTTCAAAAGCCTCTCTTTATGTTCTAAAGGCATCGCAAAGTCTACAACAACAACAACAACAACATCCAAGCCTTAGTCCCAAAAGATATTGGGGTCGGCTAACATGAATCGATACATGATATCACAACCAAAAGGAAAAGAAGGAATAAAGATAAAAAGATAAGCTATTATGAAAAGATAATATAAAAAAGATGAATATATATAGAAATGATAAAATAAAAAGGCTGCAAATAATGCATATATATATATATAAGGATAAAAAAAAACTAGGAAAAAAAGATGAGGGAAAAAGATTATCAAGATCACTCCTTCACGTGAATACCCGCCCTCCACTTAGTTCTCTCCAAAGTCATGCCCTCATCCAACCCCAGAAGAAGCATATCACTTCGAACTCCCCTAACCCACGTCTGTTTGGGTCTTCCTCTCCCTCTCTTCCCTGCCTCTTCTCCACACATCTCAACTCGCCTAACCAAACCACCGTAGGCGCGACTCCCGCATCTTGTCTTCAATAGGTGCTACTCCCACCCTTTGTCTGATTGTCTCATTCCTCACGCGGTCCTTCCTAGTATGCTCACACATCCAACGCAGCATGCGCATCTCTGCCACACTCATCTTTTGAATGTGACATTGTTTCACCGCCCAACACTCTACGCCATACAGTAATGCAGGCCTAATTGTTGTCCTATAAAATTTACCCTTCAGTCTAGTCGGCATACCTCGGTCGCATAGAAATCCTGACGCACTCTTCCACTTCATCCACCCTATTCTGATTCTATGGGATACATCTCCATCTAACTCACCGTCCTTCTGAATTATGGAGCCCAAGTAACGGAACATATCGCTGACTGGTATCTCCTTACCATCCAGAGTAATTCCGCTATTACCACTACTTCTACCTCCACCAAACTTGCACTCCATGTACTCTGTCTTTCTCCGACTTAGTTTGAAACCCTTATTCTCCAATGTTTGTCGCCATACTTCCAACTTTGCTTTAAGACCTGATTGCGTCTCATCAATCAATACAATATCGTCGGCAAACATCATGCACCACGGTATATCGTCTTGAATTGACTTCGTAAGTTCATCCATGACTATGGCAAATAAGAAAGGACTCAAGGCCGATCCTTGGTGCACTCCGATAGTAATAGGGAACTCTTCAGTCCTCCCTACACTAGTACGAACACTTGTAGTACAATCCTCATACATATCCATGATGATGCTGATATACTTGCGTGATATGCCTTTCCTAGTTAAGGCCCACCAAAGAACTTCTCGAGGTACCCTATCATATGCCTTTTCTAAGTCAATGAACACCAAATGCAGATCCTTATGAGCATCTCTATACTTCTCCATAAGTTGACGAAGAAGGTGAATAGCCTCAGTTGTTGAGCGACCAGGCATAAAACCGAATTGATTCTCTGAAATCTTCACAGTCCTTCGAAGTCTTTGCTCAATCTCTCGCTCCCAAAGTTTCATGGTGTGACTCATAAGTTTAATCCCTCGATAGTTGGCACATTCTTGTACATCACCTTTATTCTTAAATAAAGGGATAAGAGTACTCTTCCTCCAACTCGTTGGCATCTTGTTGTTTCTCCAAATCATGTTGAAGAAACTTGTTAACCACTCGACGCCTCTCTCTCCCAAACTTCTCCAAGCCTCGATCGGTATGCCATCTGGCCCCATTGCTCTTTTCCGTCCCATCTTCCTCATAGCTTCTTTAACTTCCGTTGTTTGGATCCTTTTCACAAAATCCCGGTTAACCATACATTCTGGTATGGACAAATCGCCGATATCTTGCGTTTTGTTCCTGTTGAATAGTGTATCAAAGTATGACCTCCACCTCTCTTTTATCTCTCCGTCGTCCATTAATATCCTCTGATCAACATCCTTCACACACTTAACTTTTGCAATATCTTGAGTTCTAAAGGCATCGCAAAGTCTGTCGTTACAAATTTGTGTCACCTTATTATCTATAAATAGATGTTGTTTTTCAAATAAAACTTCACTCCTGATTTTTCTTTTGCCATGCTTACGATTCTATGATATTAAATTCAATGTTGACATCTCTTTAATGGTTTGGTTAAATTTTGTTATTTTGTTATGTGGTACCAAACAACGCGATCTGTTATAATTGAAATCTTCTGCAAAACCTCACTTAGGACAACATATATCTTTTTTTCATATTTTAACAGGCTATCTGATTTAATGACTGATCCTTTATGGATACGTACTTTTAATGTATTAGAATCTCTACAGTGTACATCACATATTCTGTTTTGTGAAACTGCAGCATATAGGCGATTTTAATTATGCGCGGTTAGCAGATTTTGGAGCAGCAATATCTGGTGCTAACAAACTGCATTGCCAACAAGTTCTTGAAGAGCTTGATGTAAGTTTCTGAGGTATCTTGTTGTTTTAATTTTAACAACTAAGGTTGCAACAATGAACAGTCACAGAAAATTATTTAAGCATCATAGATTTTCTGTTTGTATTTCTATGTGCTAATTGTGACCCCTCAACCTCACGAAGTGTAGTGGGGGGTGTCCTGTGAATTATGTTAATTATGAATCTTGATTTAAAAAGCATTACAAAATACATGGTTAATATTATTGAATAGTGAAACATTTTCTTTGAACCAAAAATTATGCACAAGAGAAACTTTCTTAGGCAGAAAAGCCAAAATTATGGTGTATTGTATATATTGCCTGTGACTCTGCATACAGCTGTCCTATATGTTTCTGATTTTGATTTGCTTAATCTTTCCTACTATAGGTTCACAACCGCCTAAAGCTTACTTTGGAATTGGTGAAAAAAGAAATGGAGATAAGTAGGATCCAGGTATGGCTTTTGCACTCATGGATAATATCGAATATGTTCTCTAATTTTCATTAAAAAATCATTTTTATTCTATCAAGGAAACAATTGCCAAGGCTATTGAAGAAAAAATAAGTGGGGAGCAGCGGCGCTACTTACTGAATGAGCAATTGAAGGCCATAAAGAAAGTAGGCGGTTTAAGTTGTGAATTTCTTAATTAAACCTAGAAGTCATAGTGGCATATAATTTTTCTTATAAATTACTGAGTGTTCAAGTTGGCATAATTTATGCCTTACGCCCTTACATAATGCAGGAACTGGGACTGGAGACTGATGACAAGACAGCTTTATCCGGTTTGTAGTCTTCTAGCCCTGCTACATATGCATAATTGAGAACCGGGAACATGGTTTTGGCATAAACCCATTTGTCTGTTACGAAGCCTATAAAGGGCTGAACGAAAACCATCAAACTGACCAAAATTAAAACGATAAAAACCTAACCAAACTCAACCAAAACTAAACAAATCATGAGCGGCTCCGTTTCTTTAATAACTTGTAGAGCTATCCAAAAAAACTTTACTTGGTTTGGTTCTCGTTTTTGCATTTTTCGTAATCAGACTGACAATATGCTTGACTGATTAAACCGTGATATGGGCACGTCTCATGTTAGGGCCATGTGGAAGGAAGAGGAATTCTTATTTAATTGTCTAGGTTATCACACTAGCAACAGTAAAATTCCCAAAATTCATATCCTTTTTTAGTTTTTTCCTCCACTTACATTTTTGAAGATGGGATTATACTTAAATGATAATAATTCTTGCAGTGCAGTTGCTTTTTCTATGCTGTCTTAAAACTGTAAGATGTGATATAAAAGGGAATGGAATCTTATATCTGACATTAGATTTTGGTATTCACATGATTGCTAAGTTCTTAAATCAGTTAATCTTGATTTTTCATCTTAAACTGTAAGTTTGGGAGAATAGAATTGATTGATTTATTCCATCACTCGGTTACAATATATATAGGATACAAGTCTAACAGTCTAACTGATGAGATCCTAAAAAATAGGATCTGACTACCTAACCATACTTATCTAATACATGTGAGTAAATTACATCAGATAAGGCTAAGTATTCTAATTTATCTACAACTAACTCGACTGTACATTTTTACACTCCCCCTCAAGTTTGTGAATATATATCATACATTCCCAACTTGCTTACTAGTTGTTCAAACACTGGTTTGAACAATCCTTTCGTTAGAATATCAGCAGTTTGATCCTTGGTAGGCACAAATGGTGTACACACAGTTCCATCTTCAATGTTCTCTTTGATAAAGTGTATGTCCACTTCAATGTGCTTTGTTCTGTCATGTAGGACTGGATTGTGTGCAATGCTAATAGCTGCCTTGTCACAATATAGTCTCATAGGTAACTCCAATTCCATATTTAGTTCTTTGATCACTATCTTGATCCAAAGAAGTTCACATATACCATTGGCCATTGATCTGAATTCTGCTTCTGCACTGCTTCTAGCTACCACATTCTGTTTCTTACTTCACCAAGTTTCTAGGTTTCCCCATACATAAGTGCAGTACCCTGAAGCAGATCTTCTATCACTCACTGATCCTGCATAATCAGCATCTGTAAAGGCCTCTACTGCCCTACTATGGTTCTTTTTGAAGAACAATCCTTTTCCAGGACAACTTTTCAAATACCTAAGAATTCTGTAAGCTGCCTCAAGATGTTCTTTATATGGACAGTGCATAAACTGACTTACCATGCTAACTGCAAAAGCAATATCAGGTCTGGTATGTGCTAAGTAGATAAGTCTTCCTACCAATCTCTGATATTGTTGCACATTAACTGGAACCCCATCTCTGACATCTCCTAACTTCTGATTTGGATCTATAGGAGTGTCAGCTGGTTTACATGCACTCATCCCTGTTTCTTGAAGAAGATCCAAAACATACTTCCTTTGAGATACAATAATTCCCTTTTTTGATCTAGCTATTTCCTTGCCAAGAAAGTATTTCAACTCTCCCAGATCGTTTGACCTCAAATTCAGTAGCAAGTTTTCTCTTTAGGTTTTGTGTTTTTGCATAAAAGTCTCCTGTAATGATAATATCATCTACATAGACAATTAATATAGCAATCTCCCTCTTACTTGAGCATTTATAAATAAAGTATGATCAACTTGGGCCTGTTTATATCCTTGTTTTTTAACAAACTGTGTGAACCTATCAAACCAAGCCCTTGGGGACTGTTTGAGTCCATACAGAGATTTTTCCAGCTTACATACTCTTGAACCAAACCTGCTTTCAAACCCAGGAGGAGGATTCATGTAAACTTCCTCCTCAAGTTTTCCATTTAGAAAAGCATTCTTCACATCTAACTGTTGAAGAGGCCAATCTAAATTTGCAGCAATAGATAGAAGAATTCTGATAGTATTCAACTTTGCAACTGGTGCAAAGGTCTCAGTGTAGTCCATGCCATAAGTCTGTGTATAACCTTTGGCAACTAACCTTGCCTTATATCTTTCAAGAGTGCCATCTGCCTTGAACTTAGGAGTAAAAATCCATCTACATCCAACTGTGGGCTTGTTTTTTGGTAGCTCTACAACCTTCCATGTCTGATTCTTTTCAAGAGCATCCATCTCTTCCAAAACAGCCTTTTTCCACTCAGGTTTAGATAGAGCTTCCTGTATGGTTGATGGGATAGAAATAGAGGAGACAATAGAAGAAAAGGTTGCAAATGTAGAGGATAATCTAGAATAGGAAACATGGTTTGAAATAGGATATTTGACACATGACCTTCTTTCTTTTCTGAGAGCTATAGGTAAATCAAGATCAGTTGAGTTATTACCTTTTTCATTTACTGTCATCAGGTCAGATTTATCAATTGTAGATTATTACAGATAATTACTCATCCGATTTAGCATTTATGAGGAGATATCTTAGAGATCTCAGAATCTCTAAATATCCTCAATTATCTTGTCTTTATTAGGGAATCTTAATTAGGAGGATTCCTTCCTTATTCCACTTTTCTCTAGCTATATATATTCTGTATTCATCTCATTGTATTACACAGAATAAGAGAAATAAAATACATTTTACTTTCTCAAGTTATTTCTACATGGTATCAAAGCGTGGTTATTCTCTAAAATGATTAAGTTCGGATCCTATGGGATGACCACCGAGAGAGATGGATCTATCCCAGTCACCTCTGAACATTCAGAGGTTGTCCCAACTGGAGATGGCAGCAACCAGAATATCAATGGAAGCACAATCACCACTCCTAATCAGTCAGATTCGATTATTACTTGCCATAAACTGAATGGTAGTAATTATCTACAATGGTCTCAGTCCGTTATGATGTATGTGTGTGGAAAAGACAAGGAGGACTATCTGACAGGTGATGCACCTGCTCCAGATCAAGGAGATCCAGGCTACAAGAAGTGGAAAAAGGAGAATTATACTGTGATGTCATGGCTCATCAATTCCATGACAACCAGTATAGGAGAAAATTTCCTACTATACAAAACAGCTCAAGAGATCTGGGAGGCTGTGAAAGAAACATACTCAACTTTAGATAACACTTCTGAATTATTTGAGGTTGAATTAATGCTACATAACCTTCAGCAGGGAGAATTGAGTGTAACTCAATACTTCAACAACCTTGTGAGACTCTGGCAGCATCTTGATGTGTTTGAGACATACAATTGGTCATGTTCTAAGGATAAGAAGTTATATCAGGAGATCTGTGAAAGGAAGAGAGTCTTCAAATCCCTGTCAGGTTTAGACAAGAGTCTAGATGAGGTTAGGGGCAGAATAATGGGAAAGAAACTCACCCTTAGAGAAGCCTTCTCAGAAGTCAGAAGAGAAGAAAGCAGAAGGAAGGTAATGATGGGTCTGAAATCTCAAGGCCAACAACAAAATATTGAAGGGTCAGCCTTATATACCTCTTCCAGACAGAATGAAAACAAGAAAAAAGGGAGGCCATGGTGTGATCACTGTAAGAAACCAGGCCATACCAAAGAAACATGCTGGAATTTGCATGGTAAACCTAAAGATTTCTAATCTTGCTGCATTTACCAATGAGCAGATTGAGGTTCTTCAACATCTAATAAGTCAGAGCAAGGGGCCTGCACCATCAACTAGCCTTACTGCTCAGACAGGTAATGCCCTAACAACCCTAGTTGCACACAATCAGCCCTATTGGATTGTTGATTCAGGGGCATCGGATCACATGACTGGAGACAGTAAGTTTTTTGTTGAATTGATCCCTATGAAGAATAAGGTAACTGTGAAGATTGCTGATGGAACTACTTCAGCAATAAAAGGGACTGGAAGAGTCAAAATTTCTGACAAGATAGTGCTTAACAATGTGTTATATGTTCCAGATTTAAAGTTTAACCTCTTATCAGTCAGTAAACTGAATAATGATACACATTGCCTAACTAAATTCTCTTCACAATTGTGTGAATTTCAGGATTTGGATTCGGGGAGGATGATTAGCAGTGCTAAGCAAAGTGGTGGACTCTATCTTCAGGAACATTCACCACATTCACCCAACTCCACCAACAAGACAACTTCCGGTGAGAGTCAATTCAACCATAAGTTCTTAGGGAGTCTTAGTAGGAGTCAATTTGATACTCAAATTCAGTTATGGCATTATCGTCTTGGTCATCCTAATGTCTTGTACTTAGAAAAAATATTTCCTTCATTATTCATAAATAAAAGTTCTGCCTTTGATTGTGAATTTTGTCAACTTGCTAAACATACTAAAAGTCACTATCCCAGTCTACCTTACAAACCATCTAAACCTTTTTCACTCATCCACAGTGATGTTTGGGGCCCATCTAAGGTCAAAAATCTCACTGGCTCAAGGTGGTTTGTTCTGTTTATTGATGATCATACACGTCTATCCCGGGTCTTCCTCATGAAAGATAAGTCAGAAGTCAATATTATCTTTCAAAAATTCTATTCTATGATCAAAACTCAGTTTCAAACCAAGATTCAGGTTTTTAAAACTGATAATGCCAAAGAATATTTCTCATCCAATTTAGGAGAGTTTCTGTCAAAAAAGGGGATTATACACATTAGCTCCTGTGTTGACACCCCACAACAAAATGGGGTGGCAGAAAGGAAGAATAGACACTTACTGGAAGTTGCTAGAGCCCTTATGTTCACCACTCACACTCCTAAACACTACTGGGGAGAGGCTGTCCTAACTGCAGCTTACCTGATAAATAGGATGCCCTCCAAAACTCACAAATTTAAAACACCATACCAAATCCTATCTTATCTACATCCTCACATCCCTATTACCAATCTTCCACCAAAGGTCTTTGGTT